TCATTAACTGCATTTGCAGCTCTCCAGGCAGAGTATGACTTGCATACACCCAAGTGTTTAGTCAGGTTAGAAGTTCCAGACCTCGTTGCACAAGCCATCTCTCTCCCACAGTATCGACAATTACATTTTTCGTAGTTCTTTTCTTGTCTAGTGTAATGTTCCCAAACCGGAGATCTTGTTTTCTTCCTTAACCCTTGAGAAGAACCACTGGCTCCTTTGTCCTTCCTTTTGCCTTTACCATAACTTGGTTGTGTTTGAACATCTTCGTCTGTCTCTTGTCCACTATCTTCTGCCATTGCTTCAGGATTAAGTTCATTAGACGCCATCTGCATCAATGATTATTTATTTCAGTTTCATACCAAAAACATAAAGGAAACGTTCTAAAGATTTAGATAAATTTTATTTTGAGATAAAAAAAAGAACATTTATTTCAGTTTCATACCAAATATAGAGAGAACATTATAAATAATTGGCAATATATGTAGCTGAGTGGGATTCAATAAAGAAGTGGCAGCACGGCATAATTTCAAACCAAAACCATAACTCACTAATGAATAACAACAAAGCTTAATATAAATCTATATTACTGAAGTCAACAAAGCTTGTTATACATACGTAATCATAGGAAAAAAAACTGTTTATTCCTTTTGTTTATATTATTACTTAAGTCAACAAAACCAATTATTTCATAACAAAAACACAAAGGAGAGGGACGAGATGTCAAGACAATAAAGAGTACAAAGCAGAGGGATGAGTTGTCAAGCAACGCAGTACGACATGATTTCAGAACAAAAATACAAAGAAGAAGAAGTAAAAAGTTAAAGAGACAAAGAATCAGAAACACGCTTACACTTCAAGATTTAACTGTTTAACGCACAAAGAATCAAATCATACTAAAACATAAAAACAAAAGTAGAGTCTTAGAGAGATACCTCTGATTTGTTTCTAGATGACGGTGATGGTGGTGAACCTAAACGAGCGGAGGATTCCAGAATTGTATTCGGATTGAACGGTGTAAATCTATAATATTGGAGAGAATCGAGAGATTTGGGGAATTGGAACAGACTATGGAAGGTGGAAGGTATGGTTTAATGACTTGGATTCAGGTATTTCGGGTAACCGATCGGTTCCGGGTAGGAACCGGAACCGAACTGATATCCATGGGTAAAGGATGTAAAACCCGATTGGTATCTATGGCATAACCGAACCGAACCGAACCGGTCCATTTCGGGTCGGTTTTTTTTCGGGTTTTCGGTTCCGGTTTATATGCCCAGGGATATTTCTTGTTGTCATTGCAAGCAATAGATTATGCCATGAAACATTAGGTAACTAATCTTCAAGTCCACAAGATGATTCACAAAGAGAAAACTCTGTTTTGAACATTAGGTGTTGGGGTCAAAATCGGTACGACGGAATTAATAGCCAAAACTCCCCGCGAAAATACACAAAGAACAGTTTTATAAAACTCGAGAAATCGTTTTATAAGACTCGAGGATCGTTTTATAAAACTCGAGAAATCGTTTTATAAAACTCGAGGAATCGTTTTATAAAACTCGAGAAACCGTTTTATAAGACTCGAGGATCGTTTTATAAAACTCAAGAAATCGTTTTATAAAACTCGAGGAATCGTTTTATAAAACTCGAGAAATCGTCTTATAAAACTCGAAAGATCGTTTTATAAAACTCGAGAAATCTTTTATAAAGCTCGAGAATCGTTTTATAAAACTCGAGAAATCATTTTATAAAACTCGAAGATCGTTTTATAAAACTCGAAAGATCGTTTTATAAAACTCGAAGATCGTTTTATAAAACTCGAAAGATCGTTTCATAAAATTCGAGAATCGTTTTATAAAACTCGAGAATCGTTTTATAAAACTCGAGAATCGTTTTATAAAACTCGAGAAATCGTTTTATAAAACTCTAGAAATCGTTTTATAAAGCTCGAGAATCGTTTTATAAAACTCGAAAGATCGTTTTATAAAACTAGAAGATCGTTTTATAAAACTCGAAAGATCGTTTTATAAAACTCGAGAGTCGTTTTATAAAACTCGAGAAATCGTCGTATAAAACCCGAAGATCGTTTTATAAAACTCAAGAAGATCGTTTTATAAAACTCGAGAAATCGTTTTATAAACTCGAGAAATCGTTTTATAAAACTCGAGGATCGTTTTATAAAACTCGAAGGTCGTTTTATGAAATCCGAAGATCGTTTTATAAAACTCGAGAATCGTTTTACAAAACCGCGAAAAACCGAAAAAGCCGTAAAACGCGAACTAGTCGCAACTAGTTCGCCCATCGACGAACTAAGAAGTGCTCCTCTAGTTCGCCCATCGGCGAACTAAGCCGGGCCGGCTTAGTTCGCCAATGGGGAACTAGGACATGCCCGACTAGTTCGCCCATCGGCGAACTAGAGACGTCCCGGACACTCCGCGTCTCGATTTCCCGCATTCCTGATTCGAAACTTACGTCTTTCGACAAGGTCGCGTTCTAAACCGCGGCCGAAATATCTCTCGTTCCATCTCGATCCGACTTACCGTTCGAGTTTTACGATAAAAACCGTAAAACTTCGTTTTCTCGGAAAGAACTCGAGGAAATCGTATAAAACGGCAACGGTTAAACGAAACACCGAACATTACCTAAACTATACGGTTTATTCGAGATTTCTCGTTAAAATCATAAAAAACGCGCTTTTAATAAAAAACGCCGAGTAAGTCGTAAAAAACGTGTTTTTAATAAAAAGTCGAGTAAATCGTAAAACTTTGCGATTAACTCGAGAAATTTATTAAAAACGACGTCAGATTAGGAAACGATCCCGTAAAAGTCGGAAAACGGTTTTTATCGCAAAACTGCCCGGAAGGACCTAAAACGCGATAAAAACCCATCTCGCGATCTCAACGGAATCAAACCCGCAGATTTGATAACGTTTTGATGGTTTACTCGCAGAAGGAAAATAAAAGTCAAGTTTAAAGATAAAAGGAAGGTTTGAAGAGAAATAGAAGATTTCCGCGGAAGAAAAGGAAGGATCGAGAAGAATAGAAAATTCCCGATTTAGTCAAATCCGGGCAAAATGGAAAGATCGGATAGCCAAGACGAGGAGTATATAAAGAGGAGGTCTAGGGCAGAAGCACATGGACGAAATTCAGAGCTCTCACCACCGAAACTAGCATTTAGGAATCTTTCCGTTTTTCTGTTAGCGAGCTGTGTCTCAATTAGAGTTTTCTAGTTCTTACGTTTTCGGCTACTCTCTTTGTACCAGTTCAACGCAGATTCGGAATAAGAACCTTCTTGCTTTCAGTCTCGCTTATTTCGTTTTGATTCTAAGTGTTTTCGTCATCTTAATCTTTGTTGTGCGGTTCTCGTAGATAGCCGGTTCCTCTGGAAACTTAGGGTTTTCCCGAAGTTTCCTTATTTACGATTTATTTGACAGTAGGGTGAAATCGACTCCCACATTAGGTGAGAGCAACTATTATAGGGACAAATATGAATACCTACATCTACTAAGCTTATAAAATATTTTTATCTGCGCAAATTACAAAGAAATCCTTTTTCTTACCTGTAAGCTTGTCTTTCCGAGTAATACAGAAAACAAGACAACAAATCTTGCTTTGGGTCAAAAAAAAAAAACCAACCAGGACGCGTTAGTCTAGTGATGAATGGCTTGCAGCTGCAAGTACGGCCCCGGGTTCGATTCGTGCTGGCCACCGAGGTTTTCAAATGGGTTCTTCGGCCCGAAGAGAACAACACGTGGTCTGGGGTACTAAACCAAGTCCTTGCCAAAGGCTTTAAGCCTACCACGTAGCTAGTCTGGACCACATAAGTGGGATCATGATACTCCTCGTAAATACCAAAAAAAAAAAACCCGCACTTGGTATTTGCAAAATTCCCCCGCTTGATGTTCATGGCTGGAATTGAATGTGGTTTTTCAAGTTTTTTTGGTTTAGTTAGTTTTCCCTTACGGGGTAAAGTTTATTGGGCCCAAATTAGTAAAAGCCTAGATAGTAAATATCTTGTAGCTGATTGATTTTAGGGGTGTTACAAAATTTATGATTTTATTATGTAATTTGTTGTTCTATTGGTTAAAACATGGTTAGATGTATAGATAATTGTATTTTATATAGAAAATATGTGAAATTAATTGTTTTTTTAATCTGTTTGCACAATTCTAGAATGACATTTATAATGAAACAAATGGAATATAAGTAATGTTTCAATTATTCCGTATTAAGTAGTGTATGTAGCAAATGCATCTTGCGTGGTACTCCGAAATATTACCAATCCTAAGAAGAAACTATAGTCAAAGTGCAGTAATTATTACGCACGTCTATGATTTTCTGTTGCAAATACAATATACTCTTCATTTCATGTTGCAAGATAATTGCAAATCCAGACAACCAACTAGAAGACTTTTGTCTGAAAGAAAAACACAAGACTGTCTCCAGTTTTCATACGCATAAGCTTAGAGCCGATTAACTGACAGAAACAAAAAAAAAAAACATTCTTAAACGTGCGTATATAATTAAGTCGGATTTATTTGGTTTAATTAACGGATGCTTTGAAAATATTTCTTTGAAGTCGCCTTATATTAAATAAGCTGACCCTCTAGTAACTTCGATGAATAAACTTTTCAATAAACCATTTAATTTTATACTATTACGTAAACAATTTCCCATTAAGAAAGGAAGATAACATGATGAGTGAAAGGAACACCTAGGAAATTACAGCTTCGTTGTCCGCCAAGAAATATTTAAGAGGATCACATCAATTAGAGGGACACTTCCGAGTTTAAATACGTTCTACCTAATGGCACTTAATTAAATCTCGCTTCATCAAGAAATTAGCTTATGTGTGTTTCTAATCCTTGGAACATAATATTCACCAGCTCAAATTTCCCTATAAAATACACACTGCTCCCATATTATCCACTACGAGCTAGCTATCTCTCTCTCTCTCAATCTCTCCCTCTCCCTCTATCTCTCTTCCCTTCTTGTGTGTCTGTAAACATGGGAGCTCTAAATTTTCTCTCCGACTATCTATCTGATCGTTTCTACGTCTCAATAAGAAAACTGAAGAAGCATAAAGTCATACAGGTAATTAATAATCTCTAAAGAACTTTGTTTATATCTCTTATTTCCTCGTTAATTAAACTGTTTAACTTTTTATCAATATGATAAAAGCAAACATATGATAAAAGCAAACGGTGAATATAAAGGTGAAGATAGACTATGACGGATGCGAACGCAAAATCAAGAACGCAGTTTCCGCTATGAAAGGTTTCTTCCTAAACGGTTTTCATATGAGATTTTCTACGTCATAGTTCATGTTGACACTAATGAATAGTGTGCTACAAGTAAATTATCACGGACACAAAATTTTGCTTATACCACATATAAGAGGTTTCCGAAGTTTGACTTTGTAACGTAATAATAGCCACGATGTATGTAATTTGAAGTCTCATATTCCAAAAATGACAAAGACTCTCTTTTCATATCAGCCAAACACGGCCTTACTAATGATATATTGATCACCACCCTTTTTTTTTAAGGAGAAAAATCTGTGGAAGTGAATAGAAAGATGAACAAAGTGACTGTGAGTGGTTACATGCCTAAGAAAGTTTTGAAGATAGTGCAGAGCACTAGGAAGAAGAAACCTGAGCTGTGGCCGTACGTCCCATATACGATGGTGGCTTATGCAAACGCAGCTGGAGCTTACGTCAAAAGGGCCCCACCAGGTTTTGTGAGGAAGTCCGAGCAGGTTCAGCCGCAGCCAGGAGATACAAACGATAAGCTCATGTCCCTTTTCCACGACGAGAACCCTAACACATGCACCATCATGTGAATACGTGTAGCACTTGACGTTATAATCGGTGTGATATATAACGTCTTATAAAATTTATGGTGGAACCTTTTTTGTTAGTGTATAAAATCAAAAGAAAAGAAACTTATAGTAGTTACCAGTACTATTGATGTCACTCAAATTTTTAACCCTAAGGAGTGATTTACTCTCTCAAATAAGAGGTTCAATCGTAGTACATAGGGATCGAATCCACAAGGAACTAGAGTCACAAAAGATATAATCATAAGTGATTAAGCTAGGTTTAAAACAATAAATAAAAGTTGGTAGCAATGGTAAGTTGCTAAGGAAAATAGGTTTTGGGATTAAAACAATAAAAGAAAGTAGTCAGATTCAAGGTTATTATTCAGAAAATCAGGATTATAAATCTATGGATGTCTTAACGAATTGCTTGCAAATATATGAGAACTTCAATCCTTAGACAAATCTATAGATGTCGCTATTAGACTCGTCCATTGATCTGATTGCCGACAGTATCGATCGATGTTGCTATCGCAGTGTCGATCGATATATGTTGCCGTCGATCGATGACTCTATAGAAAATCGATCGATATAGCATCAGATCGAATTGAAACTGTGTTCACCCGAGAATTTCTATTAGACCGACTATCGTTCGTGCCTAATAGAGTCTGAGCTTAGCCAAATGATTTCAGGACAATGACTATTAGATTAGTCAGTCCATAATCATAACTCTAGGTAGCAAATCTAGAGTAAGCATTAGGGTTCATTTGGATAATGAATATAACAACTCAACAATCCATAGTTGAGGCTAATCCCTCATAACTATTTGAACCCCAAATCTAACAAATGAATCTACTCAGACATAGCCAGGAGATTCATAGCAAATGAATAAGATGAAAAGAAAATACTTTATTGATAAATAGAATACAAAACTTAGATAAAAACTCAATACTTTCTTATTTTATCTTCTTTTCTCTATGGCTCATAGGCATAACTATAAATATGAGTACAATTAGGTTAAAAACTCGTCAAGGGCAATCTTGTAATTTGGTGAGAACTTGGGCTTCAAGTCGGCCAAGTAAATCTTGCTCATCACGCTCTGTATCGATCGATGGTACATGGTGTACATCGATCGATGGAGTATCTCGACTTCAACTTCTACGGAATCGTCATCGATCGATTACAAAAGGTGTGTATCGATCGATATGTGTCTCTCTCAATGTCGGATCTTCATAGTCATTTTGTAAAACTCTCCTTTAAGCTCCATAGGCACCTAAATCATCACTTTACTACAAAAGGCTCCTGAACCTGAAAACATACCTAATAGACTCCAAAACATAGATAATTATTATAAAAACATATCAATACCATGACCAAAAACGGGTCAAAATCATGGTATATCAACTCTCCCAGACTTAACCTTTTGCTTGTCCTCAAGCAAACCTTAAGTTAGTCTTTGAAAGAAGTTTAAAAACAGCAGGGACTCAATCAAAATCTCAACTTTAAAATCATCACCTCTTACTTTGTTGCAAACCACATCTCATATATGTCAACTACAGAAGTACATTATACCATATCCTAGCTTAGCAACCAAATACATCTAGCCAATCAACTTAAGCATTCCTTGTCTGTCTATCCCCTCTACTGATTTCATTTATGCATAAAAATAAAGGTGTAGGCTTTACCTTGGGAGTATCGATCAAGGAACACATAGATTCAACTCAAACAAGTTTCAGGCATTCTCATCCTGGTTCCCTTTCTTTCTTAATCCCCCTTCTCTGAATCCCAACTCTTTCTTTCTTTCTTCTTTTTTTATATCAATCCCAATGAACAACTAATGTTCATCTTATTGATCTTTTCTTGACAAAGTGTAAGCGAATAGTGGGGTCATAGGTAATGTACCTCTCCCTCGCTTTGATCATTCCTTTGATTTAGAATAGTGGGGTCATAGGTAATGTACATCTCCCTCTGCCTCTCAGGAAATCATATCAGTCTTTTATTCTATGGGGATGCCGAAGGAAGGAAAGAAGGAAACCAAAATTTTTGAGACTTTTACCTTCCAGACTTGCAGGAGGATTCCGATCCCTTGTATATCAAGCCCCAAGACAAGCAGTAGATGTCAGGTTAGGTTGGAAATCAGCTTTGGTTATTCCAGACAATCATGAAAGTGTTGTCATAGGTGATCGGTGATCCACTTTAGCATCTATAGTACTTTCTGCAATCAACAAATCTAAGAATGGTGCTAAAGAGTGGTAAGATAAAAAGTAAGACTTTGAATTTTTTTCCTTTTCTTGACTCAATAAAACCAATTTTTGAAAACTCTTTAAATAAGATCAAAAAGAGGTAAAGTAGCATCAGTAATCATCTCCCCCCCCCCAGACTTAAATCATACACTGTCCTCAGTGTATAATCAGTCAGAGTAAGAGCATAAGAAAAATTAAATGTGTAACTGATATCGAACTGGTGAACGATATACCTGACCGATATGAATATCGATCGATGGTGAGTCGCCATCATCGATCGATGCATGTAGGGATGTGTCGAGAGATACCGCCTGGTTCGTATCAGTCGATAGGTAGTGATCGGATGTCTATTTTCCTAAAAACAAATAAAAACGAAACTAATCAGTAAAAATAAAATAAAGAAATAAAATACCTAACAGTGGGTTGCCTCCCACTCAGCGCTTGGTTAAAGTCAGTTAGCTTGACTATGGAATTATGGTGGCTAGTGAGTTGGGTTGCGGGTACTTTTTGGGAAACAAGTATCCTCCTTGTCTTGTGTTTCTTCAAACCATGAGGTTAAAAAGCTTCTTGTGGCTTTCTCACTTCTGGTCATACTAGTCTTCAAACCATAAACTTCAGTTTGGATCCTTCCCAACCATTCCTCTAAGCTGGAAAGGCTATACTGATGATGTCCAAGCATGCTGTAGATGTGTTCTGTAGTCCGCTGCATGGTGTCGTGGTGTGTTGGATCGTCGGTTGATTCTGGAGGTTGCACATCGAACGATGGGTGTGGTATGTCATTAATTGATGGGGATGGTGCAGGTTGGTTGGCGAGCTGTCTTTGGATATCTTCTAGCTCCTTTTGAATATCCTCCACTGTGCACTGCAATCCTTTGACGTCACTGTGTACTGGTAACCAATATCTGTCCAGCAATCTGTAATCTTTGTCTCGAGAAAACTCAATAGATTTGTAGATATCTGTTGTGGCTGCTTCTAGTTCTTCTCTGGTACAGAATTTTTGAGTACGGGTATCGATCGATGGACTGGGTTTGTCATCGATCGATAGCTTCTGGAAGTGGTGCTCGATCGGGTTATGGACGGGTTTATCGATCGACCCAGGGGTAGCTGTATCGGTCGATGCTGGTGTGTGAGATCTCAGTTGTGCGCGCAAGGTGGTGACTTCTTCTTGTAGGGCTTCTCTTTCATATTGTACTAAGTCATTGCTGGTGGTATTCCATAGTAGTTCACCCTGAAGTCTTGATAGGTCTTTCTCATGTTCATGTTGCATGGCTGCTATCTCCCAGTTATGATCTCCGGTTCTACCATCTAGCATATAAGTGACTTCTGCCTGTGTGTAAAGCTTGCCATCTGGAACTCCTTTAGCATATTCATCAACATATCCTGGTAGACATAAACAAGAGCGTCCAAATAATGAGGCTCTCTTCAGCAAGTTTCCCATGTCTTCTTTGGTAACAGGGATGATGTCTCCGTTTACTGCTCTTGCATGGCCAGATTCATCTCTGTAGACTCCATATTCATCCTTCGTTTCCCAAAAGAAACGACGAACTCCGTTGTTGAAGGCTCTCTTCCCATATTCTCGGTCCGTATCGATCGATGCGAGTCTCCATGCATCGGTCGATGACCGTTTTCTTTGGTGTGGATCGTTTTCGATGATAGGTCCATTGGCCATCTGAAGGATGTCTGCAACATCTTCTGTGGAGATTGGAATGATTCTCCCAGCTATAGCTCGTGCATGACCATCTGAATCCATGAAAATACCAAACTCATCCGGTATTAGTGAATTTAAATCAAATTTAGGTCTTTTTACCTCGGATGGTGTTGTGGCAGGATCGGTTGGTGGTTGGAGATTGATATCGATCGATGGTGGAGCTGCGGCATCGGTCGATTTTTTGTGGGACATGTCGGTCGATGGCTTGTGCTTCTTGTCGATCGATACGGTTGCTGCAGGTTGGAACGCGGGTTGTAGTGGTGCTGTATCTACGGAAAAACTTTTGTGATAAGTGCTGGCCCAGCTTCCAATCGAGTAATCTCCGCTTCGTGGCTCGTGTGGGACATAGACTTCTGCGCAGTAAGGTTCGTCGCTCGTTGATTCGAAACGTCGTTTGAGCGATCTGGGTGGAGGCATATCGGTCGATGGGGTAGGGATTGCATGGATCGATGCTCGTCGGAGGAAGGTCGGGTTAGGAGGGTGTTCTGCATCTTCTCGAAGAAATCGGTACTCTATGGCTCGTTCCTCATCATAATCTTCATCATACTCCTCCTGAGTAGTGATACTAGCTAGCTCGGGCATGTAATGATTGTTTTCCCACTCATCTGCGCTGAAATTGGCGTCTGGGAACTCGTCTTCGATCTGTTGGAATACCCTATCGATCGATGACCGGGTAGTGATGTCGGTCGATGGGTCTGCAACTGTATCGATCGATGGAGAATGGTTGTCATCGGTCGATACGGCTTCTTCGGTTTCATAATCTCCCATAGAATCATACTCGTGTGCACAGAAACAGGTGGCTATGAGTGTTGAGCTTGCTGTCCTTGGAAACTTGATGACCGCAACATGGTTGTAGTGGATGGAAGGGTTGATAAGGGTTAGACAGAGCTTGTTGGTTTCTAGGTTACAAACAACTCCAACTGTGGATAAGAAGGCTCTTCCAATTAGTAGAGAAGTCTTGAAGTTGAGCTTGCTGGAGAGGACATAGAAGTCTCTAGGAATTAGGGTTTCGCCAATCTGTACCTCAAGGTTGCGGACGATGCCTCTAGAGCTTTGTTGAGAACAATCCACAA